CAACGTAACTAGGTGATTATAAAGGTGCTCTAAAGGTGTCTCCGATGGTGTTTGTTGAGTTGGCATGGATCAAGATTAGGATTTGTCACTCCGATTGTCGGAGAGGTATCTCTAGGCCCTCTCGGTAATGTACATCACTATAAGCCTTGCAAGCAATGTAGCTAATGAGTTAGTTACGGGATGTAGCATTACAGAACGAGTAAAGAGACTTGCCAGTAACAAGATTGAACTAGGTATTGAGATACCGACGATCGAATCTCGGGCAAGTAACATACCGATGACAAAGGGAACAACGTATATCGTTATGCAGTTTGACCGATAAAGATCTTCGTAGAATATGTAGGAACCAATATGAACATCCAGGTTCCGCTATTGGTTATTGACCGGAGACATGTCTCGGTCATGTCTACATAGTTCTCGAACCCGTAGGGTCCGCACGCTTAACATTCGGTGACAATCGGTATTATGAGTTTATGTGTTTTGATGTACCGAAGGTAGTTCGGAGTCCCGGATTTGATCACGGACATGATGAGGAGTCTCAGAATGGTCGAGACATAAAGATCGATATATTGGAAGCCTGCATTTGGACATCGGAATGTTTCCGAGTGGTTCGGGCATTTTTTTCGGAGTACCGGGAGGTTACCGGAACCCCCCAGGGAGTATATGGGCCTTATTGGGCCTTAGTGGAATAGAGGAGAGGGAAGGAAAAAGAGGGAGACGCGCCCCCAAGCCAATCCGAATTGGTAAGGGGGCCGCCCCCCTTTCCTTCCTCCCTCTCTCCTCCTTCCTTCCTCTCCTACTCCTACTTGGAAGGGGGGAATCCTACTCCCGGAGGGAGTAGGACTCCCCTAGGGCGCGCCATAGAGAGGGCCGGCCCTGACCCTCCTCCACTCCTTTATATACGGGGGAGGGGGGCACCCCATGGACACACAAGTTGATAATTGATCTTTTAGCCGTGTGCGGTGCCCCCTCCACCATAATCCACCTCGGTCATATCGTAGCGGTGCCTAGGCGAAGCCCTTGTTCCGGTAGCAACATCATCACCGTCATCACGCCGTCGTGTTGACGAAACTCTCCCTCGAAGCTCTACTGGATCATGAGTTCACGAGACATCACCGAGCTGAACGTGTGCAGATCGTGTAGGTGTCGTACCTTCTGTGCTAGATCGGTCGATCGTGAAGATGTACGACTATATCAACCGTGTTGTCATAATGCTTCCGCTTATGGTCTACGAGGGTATGTAGACGATACTCTCCCCTCTCATTGCTATGCATCACCATGATCTTGCGTGTGCGTAGGATTTTTTTTGAAATTACTGTGTTCCCCAACAGCCGCACCGACTCTTCGTCATCTGGCTGATTGCGAGCTTCTTGATCCTTGGAAGAGCTCTCTCTAAGAACACAACACCACTATGTGCTGGCCCCACATTGGGTGCTAACTATCGTAATTTTGTCACGACAAGTGTCCTCATAGGAGAACTAAATTGTGAGGCCATAGTTGCTAGGTGAAGCCTTGGATGGGGTTGATCGGAAATGAGAGACGCGAGTTTACCCAAGTTTCGACCCCTCTTGATAGAGGTAATAGCCTACTCCTGCTAGATTGCTATTGATGATGATGATCTCGATTACAAGGGTGCTCTTTCGATGCCAATGACTCGAGAGATTCTAACTTGTCCGTTATTTGGACAACCCAGGGACCCCCTTTATATACTAGTTGGGTCCCCGATTTTACAAGATAGCTCGGGTTCTACCCAAAGTAGGAGTCCTATGCCAAGTCCTTCGTGTCTTCCAAGTATGGATGGCTCCACCTTGAAGGCAGATCCAAGAAAGCTGACTCTCATCTGATTGGGTCGGGTTACCTTCCATCCCACCCTTGGCCTCCTGGGCCTGGCGGGTTTACATCTTGGGCTTCCTAGTTGGGTTTCCTCTGCCAGTAATATCCCCAAACACCTGCTGAAACCACTCGGTGAGACTGATCAGTACAAAAGGTTTGAACTTTAGGCGTTTTGCTGAGACCGGGTGAAAACGCCTGGTGGCTCCGAGTTGTGATGACCTAGGCACTTTCCACATTTTGGCGTCACCAACTGAAACCATTCAGAAATTCCGAATGAATTTCAGCTGGCAACAGAAGGTTGGCAAGTGCTCTTCGGTGGGCCGAAGTTCTAGGGTTTTAGGTAACGACTATGTCATGAATGGCTCGGTGACTCCAGGTGTATCCAGTTCATCGAGTCTGAGTTTCACTTATGGTTTGTGTCATAGTGGAATGTGGGGATTTGAATGAGGCTTTTGGAGCTTGGTCTCTAGGCACTTGAGAAGTGAGCCCATGATCACAACCTCATCCCATTTTGGTAGTATTGGCATACCTATGGACTCAATTTGATCTTGGATCACTTAAGCATAAAAATGAAGTCTTGAGGCTTGGCCAACGCTTGTCCTTAGCATTTTGAGGGGTCCACTTCACTTCCTACAGTTGTGCCTAAGTTGAACTTATCCTGAAATGTACTCAAGGAAAACATTAATCCAGCAATATGTATGTTGACATGAATTACCAAAACCACCAAGGGAGTGGATGTGCTTTTAGTTGATCAACCACCAAAGTAACAAATGTACCCCCATTGGCTTGTAGGATATGCTCTTTGACCAATTGCAACCATAGAACTACATTTGCCATGGAAATGCATCGAAGGGACCTCTACCCATAAGGTAGAATGCACCCCATGAAGTTTGAAGCAGGATTCACACCAAGTGAGCCACAATTTTGGGTTGGTTCCATCAAATTGGGAAAAACTTTTTGCAAATATGATGTGCCTAGTGCGCTATCACTGCCATACGATACCTCTAACTAGAAATTTTCTAATGAGGAAGTGTCAGTTGAAGGAGATGATGGAGAGGACTAGATCATACCCTTGGCCGCAGGAGGTGCCGAGGACATTGAGTCCACGACGGCCTTCCCCAGTTCCTTTGATGCACTACAGTGGCCAGTGGGCCCGAGGTTGGTGTCACGGGACATAGACCCATGATGTCGCCACCGGCACTGGTGCGCACCTAGGGTGCCGGCACCAACCCCTCACGTAAGCCGGCCAACCTCCTTGCGCAGGTCTACCACCATCTTGTCCAAGTCGGCGACCTTGGTGTCAATCTCCGGCCGCCACTCATCGAAGGCGAGGATAGAGTCGTGGATCCCTTGCTTGAGCTCCTCCTTGAGGCCTAGTAGTCCCCGACCCAGCGGCGCCTTGTTGCGGATCGCCGCCCCCTCCTCATATTCCTTTATGGCCTCCACAAATTTGGCGATTTGCTCCTCCATGGAGTCAATGCGCTCACTCGTCTTCCAACGCGTTTGGTGGTGGCGGTCCAGCGTGGGTGGCGGCGGTAGTATGGCTTGCCTTAAATACCAACTGATAGGATCACACTAGTCTCTCGCTGATGTATCGATTGATAAGTAGTAATATTATCCGGAATTACAAGATTGAGGAGGAAAGAAGAGAGAATCGGGAAAGGGGATGAGGGAGTAGGTGAGGAAGAACAACCAACCGCCAATCTCATCGATGCCCTGGTACTCTGCTAGAGCCTGCATATATGATGGCCCCCGTGGATGCTGGGCCTGTCGGTTACGACATCCACTCATCGCATTGTACCTTGGGATCTCCTGTTCCCCCAGACCTTCTTTGTGGACGGATGGCAAGTGGGGTCCCTAATAATTATTTGTGGAAGGAAATTTATACCATAATCAATTTTTACCTTAACAGGTCACGTGACAAACTATTTATCACATACTCCTTCTACCCTATCATATACTCAACAAAACAACCAATCTATTTATTAGTCTTAACTAGCATTTGGTAAATCGACACCTTCTCCTTTTATCCGGCAACCGCCTCAGCATTATCCCTTCCCGACCATTGTCACTCCTATCCTGTCTCTTCGCCCGCACGCCGCAGCTGTCATTACGTTGACTCCCAAGCTTTTGTTTTAAATAGTTAGACCGACATTACGATACCGCCAACAAAATTATGAATTATCCATCGCCCGCCGCCACGAACAACGCTGTCTCGCCCTATCACAACCATTGCTTGATTCAGCTCGTCAGACATGCTCTACGCCGTGTCGAGACTTGGGAAGAAAGAGAGAGTCAAGAAGACGCGTGTCCATGAATAGGAGATTCCTCATCACTAATAAGATATCCGAATAAATCTGATTTACTCCAGATCGCCTGGGAGAGCTGCCACAGACGGTCTGAAAAATCATTCGCACCGTCACGTTATTATTATTAACATTAACAAAAAAATAATTCAAGCAACACAGTTAGTGAGCAGCCCACGGATGAAACGGAAACGGGTTCACCAGCCCCGGCACGCAAGCAAAGGAGCCGGCGCGCCGGTCGGGCCAGAGGAGCTAGCAGCAGACGACGCCGTGGAGGCGGGGACGAAACGGGCCCGGACCGGGCGCAAGAAAGTAAGCGGAGCGGCGGAAGGCAACAAAAAACAGGCACCGCACCGCCCGTTTGACTGCGCTGCATCAGCGTCAGCGCCTCGCGTTTCTCCCCACCCTTTTTCCGTGCGTCCACACCCGGGGAGTCCTCCCCCCATCGCTCTCCTCGTATCGTCGTCTTGCCATTTTGACCCTCCCGTCCCCTTCCCATCCCCCCGTGCATAAAGCTTTCTTTAATCGCCGGCTCTCGCTCGCTCGCCCTCGCCTCTCCTCTCCTCTCCTCCCCTCCCTTATTCTAATCCTCTCTTCGCCGTGGAGGGTTAGGGTTTTGAGGAGGAGCCTAATCTCGCAGGAGTAGCAGTGGTAGTAGAAAGAGGGTGGCCGAGGCGAGGCAGCGGGGCGGGTCTCTCTCTACCTCCACCCCGTCCAGAGCCGCACGCAGCCGAGGATTCGGGTCGTGAGGTGTGCAGATCCAGGGCGCAGGCCCTTTTTGGGACGCAGGATAGAGACGGTGAAAAGGCGACGCGGGTCTGCACTCGTGCCGTGTCTGCTCATCCCGGGGGACGTGGGAGGATGAGCTTCGGGGGCCTCTTCGACGGCGGCGGCGGAGGCGGCGGCATGCAGTTCCCTTACGCCGGCGCCTTCTCGTCCTCGCCCGCGCTCTCCCTCGGGCTGGTACGTCGTCACGGCCGGAACGCTATTTCGCTTTGCTTCGCTTTGGCGCGGTGGGTGATTGGTAGAGTTTTTTGTTTGTTTGTTTTCAGGACAACGCCGGCGGCCGAGACGGCGGCATAGGCGGGCGGATGTTTGCTGACGGCGCGGGCGGCGCGATGGCCAGGGACGCGGAGGCGCAGAACGACAGCCGGTCGGGGAGCGACCACCTGGACGCCATCTCCGGCGTCGGCGACGACGACGACGACGCCGAGCCCAGCGGCAGCAACCCCCGCAAGCGCAAGAAGCGCTACCACCGCCACACGCCGCAGCAGATCCAGGAGCTCGAAGCGTAAGAGCCACCGCCCAAAGCTATTTGCATCCACCTTCTCTCTCCGCCTTTTTCCTCTTGTCCTCTCATGCATGGGTTCGTCGTCCTCTCCGCCTCGTGTAGGCTGTTCAAGGAGTGCCCCCACCCGGACGAGAAGCAGCGCGCCGAGCTCAGCAAGAGGCTCTCCCTGGACGCGCGGCAGGTCAAGTTCTGGTTCCAGAACCGCCGCACGCAGATGAAGGTAAGTAGATTTACCATCCGCGATCCATTTCTCATTTGGTGGTCTCGTGCGAATCCTGACGCGTCGTTTCCGCGCCCAGACGCAACTGGAGCGGCACGAGAACGCGCTGCTGAAGCAGGAGAACGAGAAGCTGCGCACGGAGAACCTGACCATCAGGGAGGCCATGCGCACCCCAATGTGCGGCGGCTGCGGCAGTCCGGCCATGCTTGGGGAGGTCTCCCTGGAGGAGCAGCACCTGCGCATCGAGAATGCACGGCTCAAGGACGAACTCAACCGTGTCTGCACCCTCGCCACCAAGTTCCTCGGCAAACCCGTGTCCCTTCTGTCACCACTCCAGCTGCAGCCACACCTGTCGATGCCCCTGCCGAACTCCTCACTGGAGCTAGCAGTCGGGGGAATCGGTGGCATAGGGTCTATGCAGCCTTCGATGCACGGTATGATGAGTGAGTATGCCGGGGGTGCCTCGAGCTCCATGGGCACCGTCATCACACCAGCACGGGCCACCGGGTCTGCTTTAGCATCGACGGTGGACATTGACAGGTCTGTGTTCTTGGAGCTTGCAATCAGCGCAATGGATGAACTTGTCAAGATGGCACAGACCGATGATCCTTTGTGGGTTACGGGATTGCCTGGTTTTCCGGACAAGGAGTCACTCAACTTTGAGGAGTATCTCCACTCCTCCCAGCATTGCATTGGCATGAAGCCTGTTGGATTTGTGTCTGAGGCCTCTAGGGAGTCCGGCCTGGTCATCATCGACAATAGTGTTGCCCTTGTAGAGACCCTAATGGACGAGGTTCGAGCTCATACTTTTTCCCCTTCATACATTTGTTCCTACTTATAGAAGGTGGTTATATTATGCTTAGTATGCTGATGTTGCTCCATTCATTTGATCATTTCACAGAGGCGGTGGTCCGACATGTTCTCGTGCATGATTGCTAAGGCCACAATCCTTGAGGAGGTGTCTAACGGCATTGGTGGAAGCAGAAATGGAGCGTTGCTGCTAGTAAGTGCCTAACAGTCCCCAGTGCCCATCGTATGCAAGGAGTGTCGACACATGTGACCTCTGAGTCTGAGTTGCTAATTTTTACTTGTTTTTTCTTGCAACAGATGAAGGCTGAGCTACAGGTGCTCTCACCTCTGGTCCCCATAAGGGAGGTCATTTTTCTCAGGTTTTGCAAGCAGCTGGCTGAGGGTGCCTGGGCAGTGGTGGATGTGTCCATTGATGGGCTGTTGAGCAATCAAAATTCTGCTACGACATCCGCAGGTGCAAACTTGAAGTGCAGGAGGCTACCTTCCGGCTGTGTGATGCAAGACACTCCCAATGGCTACTGCAAGGTAATAACAAGAACACAAGATCCATCTTACATGTTTTCTTTATCAAATAGTTCTCTTCGATTGCCCTTTGCATTTTTTTGAGGAATTGAAAATGATTATTTTGATGGGTAAAGTTAAGTTATCTGTCTCTTTAGTGCAAAGAAACGTTGGCATATTCAAAACGAACATTATGATCACTGTAGTTTGCGACTGGAACTTTTGCATGAAAGTAACTGGTCAAAGTTTTCCGGGGGCATTAGTAGTAACCATGTTACTTCCACTACTTCTCCACTACCACTGTACCTTCTCTTAGAATTTGGGGAGAGTGGCGTTGTTTTCGGAAGTGTTTGTTTTATCTTGCTGATTAATTTATAATGTGATTTGATGATGCCCATGCAACATAGTGTTCACAAGTCAAGGCCTAATTGATTAGTTAGGGTCATGAACCCACCACCCACATAAAGAAATCAATTGGTCAACGAGGAGATGGATTAAACAAGCTACCCGGAGTAATTAAACATTTCTGTGGATCCAAGACAATTACCCAAGCATGTTGATCTGCTTGTTTAATTGAACCACCAACTTTTCTAGGGGATTAGATGCTTCTACCCCTTGGATGGAGCACCTTGGGTAACTTATTGTCCTGTATTTTTTCAAGGTGTTCCTGACATGTTGAAATCTGCGACACTTGCTCATTTCCTTTGTTATGTCTGTGTGCCTGAGCTTTGCACAGATCTTGAGACATTCTTAATATGTGGACCTGATTAAGGAAACTGATTTGCTTTAAAAACTGGTTGTGCACAAGTGAGAAATAACTCGTTTTCTTGTGAAAACACAATGATAGATCTCTTTTATTAGTTTGTTGAAGTAAATAGTAGTCCTGTGAGTTATGCGATCAATTTCAGG